GGAGAGGTTGTGCTTGATTCGTCTCTGGGCCTGGGAACCAGGACTGTGCGTGCTTTCCAGTATTCTCTTCGCTGGTCCGAGCCCCTTACTTGCCACCCCTGCGCTGGGCCTTTACCGAGGCAGTGGACACAGCGGTTAGAGCCCAGCTGTGGTATCAGACCCAAGGTCAACACTCTGTGCCGTCCTTGGGTTTGTGCTTTTGGGCAAGCGAGTGGTTTAATCTCTCTGTACTTTACTCTCTTCATCAGTAAAACAGAGTGAGTAGCTGCCTGCCTCGCAGACGAATTGTTAGGTTTATTCTATTTTGTATTTTATTTTTCATTTCATTTTGAGACAGGGTCTTGCTCTGTCACCTGGGCTAGAGTGTAGTGGCACGATCATGGCTCACTGAAGCCTCACCCTCCTGGGCTCAAGGGATCCTCCTGCTTCAGCCTTCCAAGTACCTGGGTCTACAGGCATGCACCACCACACTTGGCTAATTTTTGAAAATTTTTGATAGAGATGGGGTCCCACTATGTTGCCAGGCTGGTCTCGAACTCCTGGGCTCAAGCGATCCTCCTGCAGTGGCCTCCCAAAGTGCTGGGATTACAGGTGTGAGCCACCTCACCCAGCCTGACTGTTAGGGTTAAATGAAAGAAAGCATTGCTTTAGATGGGCTGCTTTCAGCTGCAAACAACCTAAGACTTGCCTCCAGTGGCTTCTGTGATGCAGGTGTTTAATTCGTCCTTCCTGAGAGGCGGGAGGTGGTTGTCTCCAGGTGCACTGAGCAGTTCGGAACATCGTGCTCAGTGGCTCTCCGAGGGGGTCGTACTGATGGGCGCTTTGGCCAGTGACACAGGTGTGAGAACGCTGGTGCTTGCCACTGTGTGGCAGCGAATACGTGTGATGTCTCTGAGCAATTCCTGCTGTGGACCTGAGTCACTTGTGAATTGCATGTCCTCTTCCCCATGTCCTGCTCAGTCCACAAGAGCAGGAGTCCTGTGGGATTAACTTTACCCCTGTGGCATTGATTGCCTGCTTTAGGTGCTCAGGCAGGGTTGAAATGAATGAATGATTGAGTGAATGAATGAATGAATGAATGCCGTGTTCTCATCGTGTGTTGCCATAGGACAGCGATTGCAAACTCAGATACCTCTAAGGACTGTGCAGGAATGTATGTGGGAGGAGGGGCCTGGCATGAGGCGATAGGGGGTGGTGGGGCCTGGGGCGAGCTGGAGGGCGCAGCCCATCTGTGGAGGGTTGCTGCTGTGTTCCGGCAGGCTGGGCCACACGGTGCGCAGGCCCGGAGCTGGACGTCACTCAGGTTTCCGAAAGAAGCCAGAAATCTGGACTGTACCTGCTGGTTTAAGATCCTGTCATCAAATTCAAATATTTTGACATGTCATGTGATCCAAAACCCACGTACTGTCCAGATCTGGCCCATCGGCCCAGTTGTGGCATCTGGTTCAGGAAGAGACAAGACCTATTCTGTGTTTTTTTAGTGGGGGTAGGACGAGGAGTGTAAGACATTTTGAGTGAATTAAAAAAATCTTATGAAAAATTTCAAGCGCTGTGTACAGTGTCTCACGTTTGTAATCCCAGCTCTTTGGGAGGTTGAAGCAGGAGAATTGCTTGAGACCAGGAGTTTCAGACCAGCCTGGGCAACATAGTGAGACCCCCTACAAAAAATAAAATCTACAAAAAAAAAAAAAAAGCATTAGCTGAGTATGGTGCCAGGAGCCGCTGTGGTCCCAGCTACTAGGAGGCTGAGGCAGGAGGATGGCTTGAGCCCGGGAGTTCAAGGATACGGTGAACTAGGACTGTGCCAGTGCACTCCAGCCAGGGCCAAAGGCCGAGAACCTGCCTCTTAAAAAACATTCAGACATCCGTAAGAGTAGACCGGTGCGATGGTCATGCGCGCTCTGACCTGCTGAGTAGGCATCAAGCCGTGCCCCCCACACGCGCCTGCATGTGCTTTCTCCTTTTCCACATGGTTCTGGGGCTCACGTGAGACATCGCCTCATCATCAGCGTCTCTAATGCAGCCACGGCACTCCACGCTGCATTGGAGTTCCCTGGAGGGCTCGCCAAAACACAGACCGTCAGGCCCTAGCCCCTGAGTGTTCGAGTCAGCAGACCTGGCACGGGGCCTGGGAATCTGCTTTTTTATCGAATTCCCAGGTGATGCTGATGCTGCTGGTTCGGGGTTCACCTTTTTTGCGGGGGGACAAAGTCTTGCTCTGTTGTGTAGCCTGGAGTGTAGTGATGCCTCACAGCTCACTGCAGCCTCGACCTCCTCGGCCCAAGCAATCCTCCTGCCTCAACCTCCCAAGTATCTGGGACTGCAGGTACATGCCACCATGCCCGACTATTGTAAAATAATTTTTTGCAGACACGAGGTCTTGCTATGTTGCCCAGGCTGTTGAACTCCTGGGCTCAGGTGATCCTCCCATCTTGGCCTCCCAAAGTGCTGGGATTACAGGTGTGAGCCACCACGCTCAGCCAGGGACCACACTTCAAGAACCGCTGCCTGGACAGGTACCTGGTAAACAACAGCACTACGACAAAGCGAAAGAAAATCCCCAAGCATGACCACAGCACTGTGCTCACACCAAAGGCCATTCTGTAGGGCCGTAATGAGCTCTGAAAGGTGGACCTGCTGGAATGTTCAGGAATTCCCTGAGGCCTCATGCCTGGAGTGGGAGGCTCTGCCTGGCCCTCAGCCCCTAGCTGTTGGTTGGGTGCCTTTTAGGAGCCTCAGGGGGTGGCACAAAGGCCAGCAACTGGTGATGTGTGTCTGGTCCCGGCCCAGCCTGGAAGTTTCTGGGAACCTGAGGACCCTGGAGTGGCCGTGACTTCTGGCTGCCTCCGTGTCCCCCCCATGTGTCCCGTGGATGCTCACTGGCTTTGGAGGCCTGCTTTTGACGAGACCTCCGGCTCTGATGGAGCCCAGGGGAGGGGGTTCTGGCCACGCAGGGCCCCTGAGGCCTTAGCTGGCTGTTGCCTGCATCCTTCCTCCTGGCTTAGCCCTTCTCAGGGCGGGCCTTGGTTCCTGTTTCTGGACACCCGGTCTCAGGAGTCACGAGGAGGCAGTGCAGGCAGAGGGGGCTTGCTTTTCAGATCCCAGCCATGAGAACAAAGCACCCCCGCTGAGCTGCTTGAAAGCAGCCATGGGAGAGTGTCCTGCTCCACTGACCATGTCCGCCTGCAGGCCGGGTTTCTCTTAGGACAGCTCAGGCTGAAACAGCAGGGTTCAAAAGCAGGGGAGCGGGGGACGTGTGAGCATCCTGGGCTTGGGGCTTCCCATTAAAGAGGACACCGGGCTTCCTGCCAGCCCCACCTGGTCTCTAGCGAAGCCTGCCTCTGGCGAAGATATGGCTGTGGGGACAGGAAGGGGTGCAGGGGGCAAATGTCACACTCCCTGGTGCAGAGGTGTTCCCTGGGGTGGAGGGGGCTGTGTGGGAGGATGCCCCAGGGTCTCTGAGTGGGTGTGGCAGGCTGAACAGTGTCCCCAAAAGGTGCTGGTGTCCTAATCCCCAGGACCTTGAATACGTGACTGTCCTCAGCAAAAGTGGCTCTGTTGGTATGATTAAGTTAAAGATCTTACGCAGGCATGATGGCTCCCCCCTGTCATCCCAGCACTTTGGGAGGCCAAGGCGGGAGATTTCTTGAGCCCAGCAGTTTAAGAGCAGCCTGAGCAACATAGTGAAACACTTCTCTACAAAAAATATGAAATTAGCCAGGCATGGTGGTATGTGCTTGTGGTCCCAGCTCTGTGGGAAGCTTGCTTGGGTTCGGGAGTTCGAGGCTGCAGTAAGGCGTGCCGCACCACTGCGTTCCAGCCTGGGCAACAGAGTGAGACCCTGTCTCCAAAAAAAAAAATGTTAAGGATCTTGCGATGGGAGATGAACCTGGATTGTCCCAGGGCCACCATCTTTCCAAGGGTCTTTGTCATAGGGAGGGAGGGGGGTCAGAAAAGGAGATGTGACCTCGGAAGCAGGGGTGGGAGTGATGAGGTGACTGGAGCCAAGGAATGCGGGGGCCTCCTGGAAGCTGGGGAAGGCGAGGAAATGGCTCCCCCCAAGCCTCCGGAAGGAAGCATCCTGCCTGCACCGCGACTTTAGTCCCATCTCAGGGCGAGCCCCATTTTGGACTTCGCCCCCCCAGAACTGTGAGGTAATACTTTGTATTGATCTGAGCCAGTGTCAGTTGTTAATTCTTTGCACAGCAGAAGCGGGAAGCTAATACGGAAAATGCTTCTGCTAAAGCCAGGTCCGTAACACAATGATATACAGCCAGTGCTCGACTTACGACCACGATTGGTTCCGACAGACCGGTCGTAACAGGATTTGGTCGTAAGTTGAGTAGGCTATATGTACAGTACTGTGAAATGATGTTATAAAAATCTATAAGTCATATTTTATCATAATTTTCTTTCATCATTGTTATATATCATAATTTTCTTTGTTCATTTTATGCCATTTGTATCATCTCTACACCATTTTGTTTCTTATTTTTACATTCGTCAGGTTTAAGTAAAACACTGCATTACCAGTACAACTGGTTTAAGATTTGCAAAACATATAAAATTACAAAATACAGGTGCATACAAAAATACAAAATACAGGTGTAAAAAATACCATAGGAAACATTTTCCCAATTGCAAAACATATCACGATATATAAACATGTATGAAACACTTGATTGGCCGCTGGTGCTTGGCTGCGGATCGTTGATGTCATCATCTGAGGCAGCAGTTGGGGTTACCGGAGTTGGTTTTTCGTAAACATGGTGAGCTTTGTCTGAATTGTATGTTTCTTTTTTTCTTCATAAATTTCATGATACGGACGAAACACATCATGCGCCATCCGTTCAATCCTTGCAAATCGTTCGATGTTTGGGTCCATTGCTTCGAAATGTATGAGAAGTTTATTGGGAGGGGTTTGATGAAAAATATCCAAGACACAAAACACAAATTGCTGTACCGAGTCTGGGATAACAGTTGAAATGGTGCACGCGGAGATGGTAGTGCTGCCGGAAGCTGGTCCGCACTGTCGTACGCCCAGCTGGGCAACGTTTGCGGTGCCAGACGCGGGGCAGTCGTGGCTAGCGATTGTGGTCATAAAATCGAATGGTCGTAAGTTTCATAAGTCGTAAGTCGATCAATACCTGTATTCTGGTTCGGGAGGTCTTAGGTAAAATATTTAAACTTAAAATAATGTTGGAAGCTTTAATATACGTACTTTTGAAATTTCAGTGTTTTTAAAAAAAGAATTTAATGTTCTGGGAAAAATATAAATATGAAGTGCACATATTTCCTCTTGCCTGAAGCTGTGATGTGATTTGGTGAGGCACTGATCTGCCCTCCTTGTATTGCTGCCATGGAGCCTGCTTGTTTTAAAATGACTTTCTGTTTTAGAACAGTTTATTTTTTTTCTTTTTTCTCCTTGCAACCCAGGTGGTGGGGGTTGCAGTGAGCCAAGGTCATGCCGTTGCACTCCAGCCTGGGCGACAGAGTGAGGCTGCATCTCAAAAAAAAAAAAAAAAACAAATTGAAGTATCAGATACATAAAGAAAAGTGCACAATTTTGGTTAGAGACTGATGGGTTTTCACCCGGGTATGCATGCTTGTAATGACCCCTTGTACCAAGTGTAGAGGAGAATGGGGAGAATGGGGGCGGGGGCAAGAGCAGAGGCAAGACAAGGTGAGGAGATGATGTCACCTGGCCACACAGTGAGGAGGGGGCAGGATGGCCCTGGGACGCTGTGGATGGATTCGAGGCATGCCTTCGAGCAAGAGCAGCCAAGCCTTGCTGATGGACGCGCGCTGGGTGGGAGGGAAAGGAGGACTCAGAATGACTCCACCCCTTCGCGTAAGCAACTCACACGTGTGGGTATCTTCTAAAAAGCTTTTATTTTAGTCTTCTTACCTTCGTCCTTTAAAAATCAAAAGAAGTTGGAACATGAGCAAAGATGTGGTGTCCCCTAGTCCCAGGTTGGATTAGCCTGTGTCTTACTTGTTCCTGCATTCGGAGGCCCCATGGGGCTGGGGATGCCCGGAGCCTGGGGATTCACGGTGCAGTCAGCGGCTGACTGGCTGGTCCGGAGTGGGCAAGGCATGGCCTTGCCCCAGAACTAGGCTAAATTTGGGCAAATTGACTTCTTGGCTCACTTGGTCAGAGGTGTGTTTCTCTGAGGCCTGTTTCTTCTTCTCACAGGAGGAGGAGCTCTGCAATTCAGTGGCCACGACAAGTGAATGATTCATGTGTGAAGCTCCCGTGCAGGGAGCCCGTGGGTATGACCTAGGAGAGAAGTGTGAAGGCGCAGGCCTCCAAGCGGATAGGGAGCCTGGGGCCCTGGCTCTCCTGCACCTGTGACCTCGGTCAGGCATGTGGGTTTGGAGCCTGAGTGTCTGCGTCTGTGAGATGAGCCATTGAGATTTTAACAAGGTGAAGTAGGTGGAAGTGTTTTGCTACCTGAACAGTGCTGTATAGATTGTCCATACGATTCTGCTCCCCAGGTGCCTCAGGGCAGGGGACCCATCTTGTTCATCCTTGGGTCTTTAAATTCCTAGCATTGCATCTGGCATGGGGCAGATGATAGCGCAGGGGGTGAACTGCGATCCCAGTGAGGTCAGAGCAGGCTCGCTGTAGGCCAAGGTCATCCCAGCGGGCTTCATGGAGGAGGTGGCACCTTGTTGAGTGGGGTTTTAGGGTTGGAGGTCAGGGCCCTCTCCAGGTGCAGGGGAGAGTGCTATGCATGGTAGGAAGAGAGAGCTAAACATTAATGTCTATGAGGTCTTCATCTAACACACATTTACCGAGCTGTTGCCCCAGCCTAAACAGGCAGTGCTCTCTGTGTATTACAAAAAAAAAAAAAAAAAAAAAAAAAAAAGAAAATCCCAGGCCAGGCACGGTGGCTCACACCTATAATCCCAACACTTTGAGAGGCTGAGGCAGGTGGCTCACCTGAGGTCAGGAGTTTGAGACCAGCCTGACCAACATGGAGAAACCCTGTCTCTATTAAAAAAAATACAAAATTAGCCGGATGTGTGGTGGCACATACCTGTAGTCCCAGCTACTGGGGAGGCTGAGACAGGAGAATTGCTTGAACCTTGGAGGCAGAGGTTGTGGTGAGCTGAGATTGCACTCCAGCCTGGGCGACAAGAGTGGAACTCCCTCTCAAAAACAAAAAACAAAACAAAACAAAAACTCCCTTCTTAAGTATGAGCTGTTTCAAACATGCACAAAGGAGGACTCCGATTACCACCTGGTAGACATTTCCGTGTGGATTATAAGGTTTCGGGTCTCACTTTCGCTCCTGGAGGGTGCCAAGCGCTGTCCCAGGCCCTGAGGACACATCAGCAAACAGCAGTGGAGGCTCTTGCCCTTGTGGGTTTATGGTCTGGCAGGGGAGACAGATGGAGAGCCATAAATCTGATAAGCTAATTATATTGTGTGTTGAAGGCCACAGTAGCACGGAAACAGCACGGGAGGTCAGGAGTTTTAGGGGCAGGTCGGATCAGCCTTCTGAGAAGGGGGCAAGTGAGCAGAGATTCAAAGGGGTGAGGAGTTTGACCAGATGGGTAGGAGGGAGCCGCAGGTGCAAAGGCCCTGGGGCAGGAGTGTGGCTGCCTAGATAGGACAGCAAGGAGGTGGTGGGGCTGGGCTGAGTAACAGAGACAGTGGCTGGATATAAGGCCAGAGAGGACACAACGGCCAGACCAGGCAGAGGGGCTTGTAGGCCAATGTTCAGATGGTGGCTTGTGTGTGATTTTCAAGAAATAAAATGTCGTCAATGATAGCTAAAGATTTCCACACGTCCCCAGCTCCCGGCCCTCTCCTGAGATGCTTTGCAAGGTCGCAGGTATCATTTCCCTGAATGATTTTCTACGCTTCCACGTGGGTTCATCTTCAGAAAGAATATAGAGTATGATGTCGTGTGTTTGGAAAATTCACATCGAGAGGCCAATGTCAGTTGTTTTCTTCTTTGGCCTTTTCTTCACTCAAGAATTTTTTTCCTTTAAAAATAAAAATTGAGGCCAGATGCAGTGGCTCATGCTTGTAATCCAGCACTTTGGGAGGCTGAGGCAAGCAGATCGCTTGAGCTCAGGAGTTCAAGACCAGCCTGGGCAACATAGTGAGACCTCGTCTCTACTAAAAGCAAAAAAATAAAAAATAAGAAAATGGAATTAGCCGGGCACGGTGGTGTGTGCTTTATAGTCCCAGCTTCTCAAGAGGCTGAGGTGAGAGGATTGCTTGAGCCTGGGAGGCGGAGATTGCAGTGAGCCGTCATCACCCCACTGCACTCCAGCCTGGGCAACTGAGCAAGGATCTGTCTCAAAATAAATGCATAATAAAAATCGTAAACATGTAAGGCAGCCAACATGCTGTTTTGCTATATATACACGTAGTGAAATGATTACTACAGCAGATTAACATATGTATCTCCTCACATAGTTACCTCCTTTTCTTTTTTGAGGCAGGGTCTCTCTCTGTCACCCAGGCTGGAGTGCAGTGGGGTGATGATGGCTCACTGCAATCTCCGCCTCCCAGGCTCAAGCAATTCTCCCACCTCAGCCGCCCGAGTAGCTGGGAATACAGGTGCACGCCACTGCACTCGGCTGATTTTTGTAGTTTTAGTAGAGACGGAGTTTCACCGTGTTGGCCAGACTGGTCTGGAACTCCTGACCTCAAGTGATCTGCCCACTTCGGCCTCTCAAAGTGCTGAGATCACAGGCATGAGCCACCGCACCTGGCCCTCTGTTCTTTTTTGAGGTCTGACAACTATTTTGCTGCTCTCCTGCACACATGAGAATCTTTCTAGGGCAGAGTTTTCAAACTGTCGGATGTGATCAGATCGTGGGTTGTGAATTGAGTGGGGCGGGTGGGGATCTGCATTTTCAGAACAGAATGGAATAGGACGGAATCTCAGGGTGAATAATGGAGTCATAATGTCAGTTGCACCACCCTGCGGAGGTGAATGTCCCTTCATCAAGCTTCTGGTGGGCATGCAGGCTGTGGGCCTAGTGCAGCAGGCGCTGGGAAGCTGGTGCTCTGTACCATGTTTGAACAAGGGACCCGCAGACCATGGGGCCCTGCTCACATCTGACTCAGTTAGAAACTGTTCCCGACTCCCCGGTCCTCTGACCCCGCCCCCGCACCGCCCGCTGGGCACAGCCGTCCTGTTTCCAAACATCTTTGCCTGTAGTTGTTTTCTTGGATGTCCATCTACTGGGAAATGATAGCTCCTTTTAATATGGAGTTAATCTTTCTTTTTAAAATTGGGATTAAGATCCAGTTAACATAAAATTCACCAAAGCCATTTACCAATGTACAGTTTGGTGGCATTTAGTGCATTTGCAAGGTTGCGCAACTACTCCGCGATCTAGTTCCTAAGCCTCCTCATTATCCACAGAGGCCACCGTGCACCCATTACGCAGTCACCCATCATTCCCTTCTTCCCAGCCCCTGGCAACCACCAATCTGCGGTCTCTGGATTCGCCTATTCTGGGCATTTCACAGAGGTGCGGTCATAACGCTATGTGTGGCTGTGTGACTGGCTTTTCACTCTGCGTCATGGTTTCAAGGTTTGCCTATGTGGTAGCACGTTGTCTGCAATCCTTTTTTTTTTTTTTTCGAGATGGAGTCTCGGTCTGTTGCTCAGGCTGGAGTGCAGTGGCACTATCCCGGCTGTCACTGCAACCTTCACCTCCCGGGTTCAAGCAATTCTCCTGCCTCAGCCTCCCAAGTAGCTAGGATTACAGGTGGCTGCCACCACACCCAGCTAATTTTTATATTTTTAGTAGAGATGCGGTTTCACCATGTTGGCCAGGCTGGTCTTGAACTCCTGACCTCAGGTGATCTGCCTGCCTCATCCTCCCAAAGTGCTGGGATTAAAGGTTTGAGCCACTGCGCCTGGCCATTCCTTTCTTTAAAATTATTTTTTTTGGCTCTTTAAATAATCTTTTTTTTTTTTTTTTAACGCAATAGTAAACATGCAACCCACACATTCCTTTTTTATGAATGAGTCAGATGCCGAGGAGTGGACAGACCACATTGTGTTCAGCCCTTCATCTGCTGACGGACACTTGGGTTGTTTTCGCCTCTGGCCATGGCGAGCAGCACCGCTGTGCACCTTCTTGTACATGTTGTTGTTTGAACGCCCATTTTCAGTTCCTTTTGTGTGTATTCTGGGGAGTGGAGTTGCTGGGTCTTAAAGTAAGTTTGTGTTTGATCATTTGAGGAACCGTCAGACTGGTTTCCACCGTGGTCCGTGGATTCTCTACGTTACACTCCCGCCGGCAAGCACAAAGGTCCCGGTTCCCACACCCTTGCCAATGCTTGTTATTTACCATGAAAAAGGTTCTAGCCATCCAGGTGGCGGGGAGTGGTGGCCCCTGTGAGTTTGATTTGTGTTTCCCTGATGGTGTTGAGCACCTTTTCATGAGCTTGCTGGCCGTTTGTGTATCTTCTGTGGAGAAAGGTCTTTTCAAGTCCTTTGCACATTTGCAGTTAGTCTCTTATTTTTAAAATTTTACATTATAGTTTCAAAAGTGTTTAAGTGAAGTGTAGCATACGTACAGAAAAGCGTACACATAAAGGGAACAACACCGTACGTTTTTCAGTGATCAGAGTCCTGTCTAGCCAGCAACCAGATCGGGAAGCAGAATTTTCACCCCCGATCCCCCATTCCCCTGGGTGACCCCTGTTCTGGCTTCTATTGATACATTGGTCTTGCCTGTTCCAGAACGTCACATACATAGGATTATATGTTGTGCATGCACATAACATATCTGCCTTTTGATCAACATGATTGCATTCTATTTTAAAGGTAGCAATGGTATTTTTTAGGGTTTATTTGTAACTTAAGCTGTTCTGGAGGTTGTTCCACAGTGGTGGATATGGCATGTCATGGGTACGTTGCTGCTGCTGCTTTTTCAGACAGGGTCTTGCTCTGTGGCTCAGACTGGAGTGTGGGGGCATGATCACGGCTCACGGCAGCCTTCAACTCCTGGGCTCACGTGATCCCCTCACCTCGGCCTCCTGAGTAGCTGGGACCACAGGTGTGTGCCACCACCCTTGGCTAATATTTTTTGTATTTTTAGTAGAGATGGGGTTTCACCGTGTTGCCCAGGTAGCATTCCATTGTGTGGCTATGTGGCAATTCATTTATCTGTTGGTGGATATTTGAGTTGTTTCCATCCATCCAATATGGAAATATCATTCCATGTTTGTTTTTGGGGAACATTCAGCCAAGTCACACTCTTAAAGGCTTCCCAGCCTTTGCACGGGCTGTGCTCTCTGCTAGGCACTGCTCCACCATCTCCTTTTCCTAGCAAAGCCCAGCTCATTAAATAATTCCCAGCTCAGATGTCCACTCCTCCAGGCAGACTTCCTGGCTGCCCAGGAATGGGCTCCAAGGGTCTGTTTGGCTGAATGGGAGGGAGTGGCGTCCAACAAGGGCTCACCTTGGCATTCTGTCCCAGCTTTGTGTTCCAGGGCCATGGTCTTTGACCTTGGGGGTGGTGGGGACAGAATCACAGAATCAGCCATGTTAGGCAACAGGCCACGGCGTCCCCACCACTGTTATCTAATCAGCTGCCTGGTCTAGCGTGGTAGAAAAAAGTCATCCTTCTGATCAAAAGCAGAGCAAAGTTCATCCCTTAACTGGGTGGAGGGAGGGCAGAGGAGGAAGGGTCACTTCATGACTGCATGGCTGACCCTCCGATGCCCGGGGTCTTCAGACCTTGTTGGAAGCACTTTACCTCCACGATTCACTCCAACCTCACAGCAGCCCATGAGGCGGTACTCTCCTATGCCCATTGTATGGGTGTGAAAACTGAGACTTGGAGAAGGTCAGTGACTCGTCCCTGGTCACCCAGTTGGATGGAGCTGCGCTGGGTCTCTGAAGATTCCCTTTAGGCAGTGCTAGATGAATGTGCTGAAACCCAGGGCCCCAAAGTCTCTTGTGTTGGAGAGAGAGAGAGAGAGAAAGAGAGAGAGAGAGACAAGGACATGCAGCTGGATCCTGTGACTCCTTGGTTTAGCCCCAATTCCTCTTCAGAACCAGCCAAGCCGGCCAGGGGAGGAGGAAAGCATGGTGGAATTCCAAAGGAGAAAGACGCCTCCGGCCCAGTGGCCTCTGCTGAGAAACCAGGTGGGAGACGGAGGCCGCAAAGGGGAATTGAGGCTGCGTGTGTGTGTGTGTGTGTGTGTGTGTCTGTGTGTGTGCGTGTGTGTGTGTCTGTGTGTGTCTGTGTGTGTGTCTCTGTGTGATGGAGTCTCCTCTGTCGCCCAGGCTGGAGTGCAGTGGTGATCACAGATCACTGCAACCTCTGCTTCCTGGGCTCAAGCCATCCTCCCACCTCAGCCTCCCAAGCAGTCAGGACTATAGGCACCCACCACCATACATGGTTGGTTTTTGTATTTTGTTTTGTTTTGTTTTGAGATGGAGTCACGCACTGCCACCCAGGCTGGAGTGCGGTGGCGTGATCACAGCTCGCTGTAATCTCTGCCTCCTGGGTTCAAGCAATTCTCCTGCCTCAGCCTCCTGAGTAGCTGGGACTACAGAGCCACCGTGCCCAGCTAATTTTTTTGTATTTTCTAGTAGAGACAGGGTTTTACCATGTTGGCCAGGATGATCTCGATCTCCTGACCTTGTGATCTGCCCGCCTCGGTCTCCCAAAATGCTGGGATTACAGGTGTGAGCCACTGTGCCTGGCCAGTTTTGTATTTTTTTTTTTTTTTTTGAGACGGAGTTTCACTCTTGTTACCCAGGCTGGAGTGCAATGGCGCAATCTCGGCTCACCGCAACCTCCACCTCCTGGGTTCAGGCAATTCTGCCTCAGCCTCCTGAGTAGCTGGGATTACAGGCACGCGCCACCATGCCCAGCTGATTTTTTGTATTTTTAGTAGAGACGGGGTTTCACCGTGTTGACCAGAATGGTCTCGATCTCTTGACTTCGTGATCCACCCGCCTTGGCCTCCCAAAGTGCTGGGATTACAGGCTTGAGCCACCGCGCCTGGCCTCAGTTTTGTATTTTTTATAGTGATGGGGTCTCCATGCTCAGGCTGGTCTTGGACTCCTGGGCTCAAGTGATCCTCCCGCCTCGGCCCCTCAAAGTGCTGGGATTCCAGGTGTGAGCCACCACCGCGCCGTGCTGCGTTCTGCTTTTTAAAAAAGCAGCTTTATTAAGGTGTGATTGATAGAAAACAATGATGCATATTGGATGTATGCAGTTTGATGGGCTGGCGTGTGCACCCTGGGAAACCCGCCCCCGGGATCCAGGTGCCACACTGATCAGTCCCCTCCACAGCTCCCTCCCGCCCCCTCCTGCTGGTGCTCCGTGGTGGGAACACAGAGTTCGCACTCCACTTCCTGGATACCTTTTCCAGGGTTCTGGATTTTGATGCTGTGTTTTTTTCTATGGGGGGAGCACCAGCAGCTGGGCGGGCAGGCCTGGGAGTGAGGAGGCCGCCTAGACCACGCAGCCGGATGTGTGCCCCAGGCTGGAGAAGGGGCCTGGGCTGTGGTGAGCAGGGTCCCCAGTGCTGCCGGGTCTGTCCCAGGCAGAGGGACCCCAAGTGCACGGGCTTCGAGGCTGGGTGAAGGCCAGGGCCAAAGGAAGGGCTGGGTGATCGGGGCCTGAGAGCTGGAAGGGGCTGGAGCTGGTGCCGGTGGGCTGTGTTCACATGGGGTGGCAGGAGCCGCCATGGGGTGGGGAGGGCGTTAGTGACAGGGCAGGACTGCTCTTTGATCCAGCTCATATACCACCTCCCCCAGGAAGACCTTGGGGACTCCTCAGTGCCCTCCAACTATTGGCTGAATTGTGCCTCAGTTTCCTAATCTGTAACATGGGGGTAATAATAGTGGCAGTCTCAAAGAGTCATGGTGCTGTTTAGAGGATGAGAACATAGTCAAGTGAGCAGCATCACCCGGCGAACGGCGCTACCCGGAAATGCTCGCTTCTGTTACCTCGTTAATAGGCATTTGTGTCACCTTCATTTGCACCTATGGGCTGCTCAGGCCATAAGATGCTTCTCTGGTGCTCGCAGCTGGGCAGGAAGACACGTGTATCAATAAACAGTTATGGCACTTGAAGGCAAGTCTCTGATCTCCTGATTTTTCCAAGAGAACTTTGAAATCCGGATTTTACATTACATCTTGCAATTTCTTGACAAGGAATTCAGCTTCTTCATTTACACGCCACTTAGTCGAACTAGACACAGCTGTAGCTACAGTGTCACCAGCTCCATAGTACAGATGGGAAAATTGAGGTTCGGAGGGACCGACTTGCCCAAATGGCCCTGTGGAGTGCCACTCAGAGCCTGGCTGCCTCCAGATCTGCTCCTTCCAGGGGACGTGGGGCTGGGCCTGACTGGCCAGCTCGGCTGTCCACCTCCTGCAGAGCCTCTGCCTATTGGTTCTGGCTGTCTCAGATCAATGGGGGTGTCTTTGTCCTAGAAGTACATGTTCAAAAGAGGGTGGACCGCGATGCAGCCGCCTGGCTGTCTGGCTTCGCAACGTCAGCCCTAATCTGATGGGCTGGGTCACTCCTCCCAGCTCTGATGGGGTGTGGGCACTGAAGGGCCCGAGAGAGGTTGAGGGTGGGGATCGGGTGGACCAGGGGGAGCTCCCTGTGTCACTGGGGCAACGAACTGTAGATCTAGAGGAGCAAAGCTGGGAGGAGAATCCAAGTGGACCCCAGGTGTGTAAACTGCAGTCTTCAAGAAAATCACGTTTTTGCAGTTTTTAAGTCAGGAGATTTCATATATATTTCTGTACTTCTGGTTCTCATGGAAAGCTTCTGTGTTCTCATCTTCCTCCGACTCCTCCCCGACTGGCTCACTCGGCGCACAGGCAGGCTGTCTGTGGGCACACGCGGGCTGTGGCTGCTGTGGAACGCCACCCCTTTCTAGATTCGTGGGCGCCCTTCCTCACTGCCTTCGGTTTTGATTTTGGTTCTAGTTTGTGTTTCTTTCTTTCTTTTTTTGCTTTCTTTCTTTCTCTCTCTTTCCTTTCCTTCTTTCTCTTTCTCTCTTTCTTTCTGTCCTTCTTTCCTTCTTCCTTCCTTCCCTTCTCTCTTTCCTCTTTCTCTCCTTCTCTTTCTCTCTTTCTTTTTGAGACACAGTGTGACTCTGATAGCCAGGCTGGGGCACAGTGGCACCATCACAGCTCACTGCAGCCTCAACCTCCTTGGCTCAAGTGACCTCAGCCTCTCAAGTACCTGGGACTACAGGTATGCAGCACTATGCTCAGCTAATTTTTAAAAAATTATTTTTTATAGGCCAGGCGTGGTTGCTCATGCCTGTAATCCCAGCACTTTGGGAGGCTGAGGTGGGCGGGTCACTTGAGGTCAGGAGTTCGAGACCAGCCTGGCCAACATGGTGAAACCC